CTAAAACTAGCGCCTTGGGTAAACCTCCCTCTATTTATCCCCCCTCCCCTTATTGCCTGGCGTCGTGATTACTCTTCACCTGTTGTTGACCTCTCTCCTTCCTCCCCCAGCTTCTTCCTGGTTCTTTTGGCCCCAGCCGGCAATCAGCCCATCTAAATTGCCCATATATGGTTAAGCTCCTTCCCAACCCCCCTTCCAACCATTAACAGCCACCCCCCCCCCTTAGTTACCAGTGGCAGAAACAAATCAATCCAACTTCCAACGAATGCAATACAATGGAAACCAACAACAGTTGGGTGATGCAGGTTCTGACAGTACTAAAGAAATTACTAAATGCTCAGTTATATGCAAAACTTTCCAAATGTGAATTTTACAAGAATCAAATTGATTACCTGGGATATTGGATATCCAGTAGAGGGATTGAGATGGATCCGGGTAAAGTGCATGATGTGATTAGATGGGAGGTGCCAAAAACTTGCAGGCAGCTACAGAGTTTCCCGGGGTTTGCAAATTTCTACCACCAGTTCATTCCAAACTTTGCTCAAGTAGCCCTCCCTCTCACTGACCTATTCCCAAAAGATAAAAATGATAAGGTAAAAGCTCAAAGACCAGGGGCGCCTTTAAATTGGACAGAAGAATGCCAGTCAGCATTTGAGCAATTAAAGAGACTGTTTACTGCAGAACCAATTTTAAAACATCCCAACCCTGAGAAACCTTTTATAATCCAAGTGGGTGCATCAGATGTGGCTATAGGGGCTGTTTTACTACAAAAGACTGAAAGTGGGGTGTTGCATCCTTCTGCTTACAATCTTGGAAGTTTACTGAGACTGAAAGACGCTGGTTAGTGTAGGAAAAGGAACTCTTTGCAGTGCGGTGGGCGCTAATGACTCAGAGGCATCTGTTGGAGGGGTCATCTCATCCTTTTGAAGTCTGGACTGATCATAAAAATTTAGAGGCTTTAAAGTCTCTGAGGAAATTATCCCCAAAGCAAGTCAGATGGGCTCAGTTTTTCAGTCAGTTCAATTTTATTTTGAAATATATACCAGGGGGAAAAACTTCCTGGCTGATGCGCTTTCTAGGTTACCACAGCACAGCAGCCAGAGAGAAGAAGTAGTCGCCGCCGTTGTTCCATGTCCCCAAACAGGAATGGTAGCTGTTACCAGAGCTCAAGGTAAACAGCAGGAGTGCAAGCCAGAGAGAGATTTCCTGAATGAGTTAAACTGCAAATTACAAATGGATGAGTAGTTTCAGAAGAATAAAGAGTCTTTGACATATAAAAATGGAGCGTGGTGGGTAGGTGGAAAGTAATATGTCCCAGCTGAGTCCAGGAAAATGGTCCTAGAACGAGGCCATGACAGCAAAATAGCAGGTCATTTTGGGTTTGTGAAGACCTTACACCTCTTACGAAGACAATTTTGGTGGCTATTTATGAGGAAAGACATAGCAGAGTATGTAGCTAGCTGCCCAACGTGCTATAGCAAAAAGACAAAGGGGGAAACCAATGGGCCTTTTACAACCAGTAGCGAGCCCTGAGAAACCTTGGAAACAAATTGCTATGGATCTTATTGTTGAGGTACCTGAAAGTGAGAAGAAAAAAGTGATTTGGGTAGTAACTGACTTGTTTTCAAAACAAGCTCATTTTGTGGCATGCACATCTATCCCAACTGTGGGGAAGTTGGCTAAAATGTTTGTACAGCGTATCTATAGACTGCATGGGGTCCCTGACCAGATCATTAGCGATCGTGGGGTTCAGTTCACTTCAAAGTTCTGGAAGGCGTTTGTGAAACTAATTGGGTCAAGTCAAGCCTCGAGTTCGAGTAACCACCCCCAGACAGACAGTGCTTCTGAACGTTTGAACTCCGTATTAGAACAATATTTAAGGTGCTTTGTAAATTATCAGCAGGACAGTTGGGCAGAACTCCTGCCATTTGCTGAAGTGGCTTATAACAACCCTGTGCATCAGAGCACTGGGTTTACCCTGTTCAAAGTAGCTACCTGGTAGGATTTTATCCCAGAACTTCCCCAGGAATCCACTCAAGTGGCCTCAGTAGACGAATGGATCAAACAAATGACAGATACTTGGCCAATAATTAAAGCGGTGTTGCAGGATGCCAGGGAGGATTACAAAAAACACACAGATCACAGTGGTCCCCTGAAAAGGAGTGGAAAGTGGGAGACAAAGTGTACTTATCAACCAAGTACCTCAAAACACTGCAACCATCAAAGAAATTGGGACCCAATTGTGGGACCTTTTATAATAGAAAAGGTCATTAACCCTGTTACAGTTCAACTACAGTTACAGTACCTAAGAATCTTAAAGAGGATTCACCCAGTATTCCATTGTAGCCTTTTAAAACCTTACAAAGAACCACCAGAGTGGCACATGGCCCAGCCACCACCAGACCCTATAACGATTGAAGATGAGCAGTATTTTGAAGTAAAAGAGTTTTTAGATGCCAGAAAACACAGAGAAGTACAATTCCTCATTCAATGGAAACATTTTCCCAGGTCTCAATGCAAGTGGGTTGCGAAGAAACATGTGCAAGCACCACAGTTCATTAAGGGCTTCTACAAGAAATAATTTAATTCAGGTGACCATTATATCTACTACTGTGGGAAAGAAACCCTTAGAAGAAATGGAGTAGCTCTCACAGTCAATAAGAG